CACAAAAAAAAAAAAAAACCCCCCCCCCCCGGGGCGCCGCGAGGGTTTTTTTTTTTTTTTTTTTTTTTTTTTTTTTTTTTTTTGCGCTCTAAAGACAAATGCTGAATAGGAAAAAAAAAAAAAGAGTTCCAGAAGAGACTAAATATCCTAGATTGATCTGGGTCACGGAGAAGCCATTGTTACTTAACTGACTGGCACTGACTTTTTCTTCGTCTTTTCCTTCCCTGTTGTCTCTCTTCATTTTGGACCAGTGGATTTAAGAGTTTACCTCTTCACACCTGCCCCCCTCTAGCAATCCTGTCTCCCCATCGTCCCAACCGCCTTGACTTCTGTTTTCCTCTCATCCATCTTGAGTGAGCTTGTCCCCAGAGAGCTCTGAAGGCCTTTGATCAAATCCGAAGATGTCACTATTGGAAGGCAGCGCCAAGACAAAACTGATGACAGGACTGCAAATTTATTCTGAATGTCGGTAATCAAAGCTGACGGCCTGTTTGATTTTTCCCTCACATCCTCTCTCACTTCCTCTCAGCTCCATCTTTCGGTGCTGTGACCGAACTCCCTTCTGATTTCACGATCGATCACATTTCTCCTGACAGAGGCATCGGTGGACTCTGCTGTGAAATGGATCGTAACAATATGCAATATGTTCTCTCTCTCCCTTTTGCATGAAATCACCGGTCCATCCTGTCATCTTCTTCTATTTCTTCTCCTTCTTGTTCTCCTCTCCACTCTTCATCCCTCTCTGTACTTTTTTTAAACTCTGACGGTGCTGCATCAGATTTACTGTAATCTTAAATGAACAAAAGGGGGCCCGGGCGGGAACCATTCTGTTTTCATCCTGCGGAAGATTTCGGAGTTGGTGATCCCTCACTGTCGGTGGAAACATACAGCACATCTGAGTCTCTGAAATCAGGATTGCGTGCGTGTGTGTGGGCGTGAGCTCGTGTGTTTGTGTGTGTGTGTGTGTGTGTGTGTGTGTGTGTCTAACTTGATACAGAAGTTTAAATCAAGCCAGAATCGAAGCCAGACGTTGATGTCAATGTCAGGCTGCAGTATTTCAATCTTTCACCCGACGTCATTTAAAAACAAACAAACAAAAAAACAAACAAAAAAAAAAACATTGAGTTTGTTTACATGCACAGATGTTACATTATTTCATAGTGTAAAGTTTATGAGTTTCTGCATCTGAGCAGAGCGCATTTAAAGAATGCAATATGCAGGATGATTTTGTGGGGGATGGGGGAGTTTGTTTCTTTTCCTTTTTTAATAAGGTGAACTCGGCCTCAACAGGGTCTGAGCTGCTGTTCCCCAACTACTGTGTGCATGTGTAAAGCATTCACTACTGAACACTGTGGGATCCTTTTAAATTGTGCTCCGCCTCCGGTTGGCTCATCTGATTTCGGCCCCTCGATGTTTGTACAGTGCCGAGCATGATGTTGGCGAAACTTAAAAATGGAAGCCAAAAGGGCAGAAAGGATTAATGATCACTTTTTAACTACTGTCTTGTTTTTATTGTTGTTGATGTTGTTTGTCTGTTTGTTTTTATTTACCTCCAATAGTGATTTTAACTTTTTTTGGGGGGGGGGGGGGGGGGGGGGGTGGGGGGGGGGCTGTTTTTATGTTAATGTAACATTGCTGATTACTATTTTGTCTTCACGGACAGAGATATGCATTAATAAATTTAAGTCTAATTTTCTTTTTTTTTTTTTTTTGGGAAGCATTCTTTCTCCCCAAAATATCAAGCACATCATAAGTATCGGAGACCCTCGTGTTTATACTGTGTTCATAAGATTAGCAGATTTACCTCAAAAGTGCGTCGGGTTTGCCCAGATTTTTTATTTTTTATCTGAAATTGTCCCACATCTAACGTGATCTGCTGTCCCAGAATTTGTGAGTGAAACACAGTATGCATACTGAATGTGTCCGCCACTTACACATTTATCATGGGTGTTGGGACTATTTTCACTTTAATAAGATTAAGAATTATTTAATCACTTGGGGGGAGGGGGGCACACAAAGGGCAGAGTATAAATTATTAAACTTTTAAAAATGAGTATTTTGGATATTAGGTTCACCGTAAGGTCTGCATGAACTTACAACTTTTCATTTAGACCTCTCTTCGAGTCACTTTACTAACAGCCGTAAATTGTTTTATAGGGTCAACAAAAGAGATAACAAGATGCTAACTCAACCATAATTTTTTTAAGTGCATTTCTTTCCCCCTTTTGAAATCTTTTCAGTGCATTGAAGGACTTTTTTAAAAAAAAAATTTATTTTTATTTTTTTTTTTAAGCATTTACACTGTAGCTGTTTTCTGTGCGTCTGCAAGCTGCATTTCGCTGATCTGAGCAGGTTGAGGTTTTAGCAATAAAGTCCCGAGCTACAGACCTTTCAAAAACCAGAACTGCTGTAGTAGACTTTTAACTGTTCAGTTTGTGTGTGTGTGTGTGTTTATTTTTTTTTTTTAATCATTTTTCAAAGGAACATTTACTAATGTCCTGTTTTTGGGGGATTGATTTGTTTATTTTTTAAAAGCGATGATGGAAAAGAGAAATAAAAGAGACTACCATAACAGGAGCCTGTTTGCCTATTTGTGAGCATTTTTTGGTCTTAATTTTGTGTAAACATGTGTATCAGCGTCGACCCTCAGACTTTGTCCAAGCCTTAGTAATATATTAACAAAACGCCACACACGTACAAGTTTGAGTGTGTTTGCACGTGTATGCGCTCAGAGAAGCTTAATGCAAGTATTAATATACACTGGGGAAAAAATAAAGTAACTATTACACAAAGTAACTATATGCAATCTGAGGTTCAGTAGATTATTATTGAAGTTCTATTTAAAATTATAACATATAGAATGTCCTAAAACCAGTGGCTAGTAAAATAATATTTTACAAACATACATATTTCTGCATGAGAGATAACATAAGACTTCCCTTTGGGAATAAGACCTGTCTAGGCCGTCAATGCTCATGAACCTGAGAGTGTGTGTGTGTGTGTGTTTGTGTGCATGTTAGTTGGTCGATTAGAGAGTGGACACTGTGTGATCAGGCATGTAGATTTCATTGATCATTACCAGCCTCAAGGGAACACTCTTGACGCATCATGGAGACGGGAAAGGTACGAGAATTCTTGTGGGGAAATAAAAAAAAAAGCTCTTTTTATGCATTTTAGACATTTATCCAAAGAAAAACAACGTTCAGGATTCTTCTAAAATTTCTACTAGTGTTTTTTTTTTTTTTTAGGAAACATTAACTTGCTTGTGCTGATGCGGTTGTGAATGTGAAACTGTGCTTGGATCGCAGCAACTGACGGGTACGCTGGCTGTAGCAGTGTTCACAGCAGCTCTGGGTTCCCTGCAGTACGGATACAGTCTGGGAGTCATCAATGCGCCCCAGAAGGTAACATGCACTCGCTTTCACCGAGCCAATGAACTGCTTGATTTTTCACACCCTGAGGTATTTGCTTTTAAAGAAAAATGTGTGTGTTATTCTCAGTAACGGTGTTGCTTCAAAACGATAGCACAACCCTTTAAAGAAAAAAAAAAGTATTTCAATTTTTTTCCATTTTTTTTTTCTACTAAAAGTAAGCAAGTTGATATTTTTAGTTTGCAGCAGGGTTTTTTTTAATCAAAGACAATCATGTGTGAGTGTCAGATGACACATAATTGTTTTTTTTTTTTTACAAGGACAAAATGTTCTTCAGGACAGATTACACAAATGCTGCAAACCCTCATCAGTCTTCTAAAGCATTTGCAATGAAATATTAACTTAATATTTCCATGATTTGTATAAGGCCTTGCAAAAACATCTGCACTCATCTAATATTTTGCATTACACCACATTATAACCTTTAATGTAGCTTTATTGGATTTTTATGTGATGCGCCGACTCAAAGGAAGATTTTATAGTAGAGTGGAAGGAAAGCGAAGATTTTATTGCACCGCTGCAAACTTGCAAAGACATGTTCAGTCAAGCAGCGCATAATCTGGAGAAGCTGCAAAAAATCTTTGGAGGAGCTGCAGAGATCAACGGCTCGAAGATCTGTTAATAAATAAATTATACCACCCAGTACTAAAGAAATACCCCAAGAAGTGACATTTATAAAATTCAGAAAGGTGTTTAGTTTTAATGTGATGAAAGATGGAGAAAGGTCACCGGGATTTAAACACTTTGCATTATTCATTTGCTTTATGCACATTTCAGAGTCACCTCGCCAAATACCGTGCTGCAGTTTTATTTTCTTTCTACGCCGCCAGGTCATTGAGAAGCACTATGCTCTGTCTTTGGGCGTGTGGTCCGAGAGGTCAGCACTGCCAGAAAACATCACGGAGGGAGAAAGTCCCCCGGAGGAGGAAAAGCATCCTTCTGTGGTCATGTACTGGTCGCTGTCGGTGGCCATCTTCTCCATTGGCGGCGTGGTGTCCTCCTTCCTGGTGGGATTTATCGGAGACTTTAAAGGAAGGTCAGAGATTTCCAAGAGTGGACGACACGTTTACACGAAAGCTGAAACAAAGAAGACGAGAAACATTTCTCTTGTTTTGTTTTGTTTTTTTCTTTTATGTTCTGCAGGGTGAAGGGCATGCTGATGGTCAACGTTCTGGCCGTAGCGGCTGGACTGCTGATGGGTCTGTCCAGGATGTGGAAGCCCCACATCATGGTCATCATGGGCCGCGCCATCATGGGCTTTTACTGTGGTAAATCCAGGCGTCTGGAATCACCTTCGTTTCACAACTAAGGCATTTTGCAGGGAAAAAAAAAAAAAAAAAAAATGCTGTAATCTGTTAAAATGTGTGTTTCAGGTTTAACATCTGGATTGGTACCGATGTATATCGGAGAAATTGCACCTAAAGCTTACAGGGGAGCTCTGGGAACGTTACATCAGTTGGCCATTGTCATTGGCATCCTACTCAGCCAGGTAGGTTAAACCCTCACACAGCGACACCTGCTTGACTAAAACATTAGTCAGACTTAACCCATTAATGACATGTATTTGTATGCAGGTAATAGGTTTGGATTTCGTTCTCGGTAATGATGAAATGTGGCACGTGCTGCTCGGTCTGTCCGGAGCTCCTGCGATATTGCAGACCATTTTGTTGCCGCTTTGCCCCGAGAGTCCACGATACCTTTACATCCTGCTGGGCAAAGAGCAGGAAGCCCGGAAGAGTAAGAGCCAACACATGCAAACACAAGCACAGTTAACCGTTTTAGTTTGGTTTTTCCCTCAGGCAAGTACGACTTGCATAATATACGATGGGGAAAATGGCACCACATTCCCCCCTGTCCTCCAAATGGAGGTCAACTGTGAGCTGCCGGTTACCTTTGCACAGAAGCGTCCAAGCAACCTGGCGAGTTTTGCAAAAAAAAAAACAACATCAACGCAGAGTTTGTTAAATCCATCATGACAAAAAAAAAATGCAGGTCATTGATGAAAATGAGAATTTGCTCTTGACCGACTCACCTGGTAAAATAAATCAATCAATAAATGAAGCAAGCATTTTTGCATGAGCAAAGGTTCTGCTGGGATGTGCTTCAATATTTTGTTTTCATGGTGCAACAAAAATAATTGAAACATTTCAGTCACAGTGTCATTACAGGAGAGTAACTTTTATTTAAGCAAAAGATTTCAACAGCCAGCGTTGCCTGTCACTGCATGAAACTCGTTTCTGCAGGTTTTTGCTCCCCGAGTGTTTTCATGCCGCACTTCTTCCTCAGGTCTGCAACGTCTAAAGGGGGCGTACGATGCTTCTCACGATCTGGAGGAAATGAGGAGAGAGAAGGAAGAAGCCGACAAAGAGCCGAGGGTGTCGATCCTATCTTTGGTAGGTCTCTCTCTCTCTACAGAAGTGAACGCTGTAGAGTTATACAACCATAAACCTGGTTGATTTAGAGTGCTGCGGAGCCTTCAGGTTGTATGATACTTTGTTTCACTGGGACATAAATATGCTACGGCATGCGGCATAGAGGCCCATCTTTTCTTGGCCTCTTTTCAAAACAGGAAAATCAAAAGAGTGTGTCCCTGCATCTAAGGCTAGACGTGAAATGACCTTCAGGAGTCCAGAAAGTCCATGAAAACAGGAACTGGTCGTAACTTATTGCACTCAGAACAGCAGGTATGAAGCTTTAAACCCTTGAAACTGTGAAAGGACTAGAGGGAAACAAAAACAAACTCCAAAGTTCATTGTTAGAGAATTGCAACATCAGCATTCTTCCAGCTTGAGGTTATGCTACTGTAAAAAATTTCAGTTTTAAACAAATAAATACATTTATTTATTTTTTTTACCTATACAATAAATATTAATTTAGTGGTAGTAAGCTGTGTGTTTACCGATAGCTTGTGTTTGAACTTTTGCAGTTTGTCAAAGTTGTGCTGTATTAAATTGCTTTTGTGGACTTTGGGACTGGGCTGGGTGCTTGGTAAAGCACTCTTCTGATTTAGCCACAACACTTGCTATTCTTGTCTGGAATTAAACTTTGGAGTTTGACCTGGATAGTTTTGCTTTTTTGTTCCACCTCGGCTTGGGGCAATATAATATGTGATGTTAAGATATAAGTAATCAGGTTATTTTATGAGGGACATCTCATGAGAAATGTATCAGAGCTCCTTTCACCTTCAGTACTGCCTTACTTTTGGGATAAATTCGCCAAAATGCTGGAAATTTTCCTTAGAGGTATTTTGCTATATATTGCAATGCCATAATAAACATGACAGCATTGCAAAAATGTTCCAGACTTTTGGGTAGCAACTCCATGATGTGGGTTTACCGTTTCGTCATATGCTACTATTGCCATTATATTATATTATATTATATTATATTATATTATATTTTTGTCTCTCTTTTCTCTCTTAGATCCTCTCCTCTGTATATAGGCAGCAGCTCTTTGTTGCCCTCATGATGCACCTTTCACAGCAGCTGTCTGGCATTAATGCAGTAAGTGTAAAAGTTTGTTTGTTTAACCTAATACCAAAATGTAGCCATTTAATCTGTGTAGAGGTATCAACTGAGATATTCAATAAAGTTTAGCAAACCGCTAAAATGTGACTTTGTAATGTCAGGTAATCGATTCTTTCTTTTTGCATTTCAGATCTTCTACTACTCCACAGCCATCTTCACCCAAGCTGGTGTCAGTCAGCCAGTCTATGCCACGATAGGAGTGGGGGTCATCAACACGGTCTTTACCTTGGTGTCTGTAAGTACCGCGCTCACATGTGCAACACCAGCGTCACGTGTTGCGTGATTTGGTTCTGTCTGTAAGCGTGCTCTGTGTGTGTCCCAGGTCGCACTGGTGGACAGAGCCGGAAGGCGCACGCTGACTCTGGTTGGTCTGGGAGGGATGTGCTGCTGTGCTGTTGCCATGACAGTGGGTCTCAAATTCCAGGTTTGTTCGACCGAGTGGAAGATCTCCGGTCTCAGCTAAAACCGACCGCAGGGGTTTATGAGACACCGAGGCAAACCGATACACAAGCACAGATTCATTACACACAGTCAAAGATTTCACGTCTTTACTTCTTGTCATCTTGATGAAAACGGCTTGAAACCTCAAGATTTAGCGTCTCTAAAGAATTGAAAATTTGTCAATCAAAATCCATTCAAGAATTGAATTCGTGCAAGACTGAGGTGAATGGCAAAAATCTGCTCTTTCCTCTCTAGAACGACTACTCCTGGATGAGCTACGTCAGCATGGCGGCCATCTTCCTGTTTGTGAGCTTCTTTGAGGTCGGCCCTGGTCCTATTCCTTGGTTCATAGTGGCTGAACTGTTCAGCCAGGGGCCTCGGCCAGCCGCCATCGCCCTCGCAGGCTGCTGCAACTGGACCAGTAACTTTATCATTGGCATGACCTTCCCATACATACAGGTACGGAGCCAGATTCAGTATGTGCACTGTGCTGTAAACTACCTCACATCATGTCCCACGATCAAACACGGCTGCGTTTTCAACAATGCTTTTCTGCATTCCTCACCAGGCTTTGATGGACTGCTACGTGTTCGTCCTGTTTGCCGTGTTGCTTCTCTGTTTCACCATATTTATTTATTTCCGGGTTCCTGAGACCAAGGGTAAAACGTTCGAGGAGATTGCCGCCATCTTCCAAAAGAAAAAGAGGATCCCCAAAGACAATGCCGAGCTGGAGCAGCTCAAATCGTCCAGCGACGCTTAAGGCAGCAGCAGCTACGTGACTGCACGGCAGCAGCGCTGCCAGCTGTTCCGCCGTGCAACCCAAAGAGGTCAAAGAGCTCAAAACCTCTTGACCTTAATTCACATGTTATTGAGTTACAACAACACCCTTTACAGTGTTTTATTGGTAATGTATTGACTCAAATTAGAGCATAATTGTGGAGGGAAAAGACGGATACCATTGGTTTTACAATTTTGTTTTTCTTAACAAATAATTGTGTGACCTGCGTTTGTATTCAGCCCCCTTGATTAACTCTTTGCTGAATTGTTTGCAATGCAATATTGCGGCCCTTTCTTTTTTGTAAAAATGTCTCCAGTTCAGTCAGACTGGATGACGAGCAACTTTAAAAATTTGTTTTTATTAGCTTTGTGCTAACTAACTTCATGCTAGGCCTGTGGTAATATGTTCTTTGTGATCTTGGTTCTTCACTATAGATTTCTAGGAAACCTGAGGCCTCCTCATAACAGTTTAATTTATAGATACTTAATGATTAAGTGACTTTTATTTAGGTGTTTTAAAGTAAACGGGGCTGAATGCAAATGCAAACAAAACTTTTTTACATGTCTATAGTAGCGCTGTGTACTGTTTTACTTCCACATCACCGTTGAGCACTACTTTGTGTCGCCCTGTCCCATAAAATCCCAGTTATGTAAAAGTTTGTGTTTGTAACATGACAAAATATTTTCCAAGAAGTACCGCTTGTTAAGGACATAGTACGTTTATTTAAATATATCCCTCGCCCACTCCCCCCACTTTTTTTTTTTTTACACAACATCAGTTAAATTTCACAATGTTTACATGTAACCGAATTAAGATTTTTACTACAGTAATGAAAGTAAAAGTTTACTACTATAAGTGTTTTACAATGACAACAAACCATATACCCACCATAAGTGGGAGAAAAGTTATAAAACTTGCTAAAGCTAAAATATCTGTACACATAAAATGGAAACGGCGCATAGCAACAGTAATACGTACATAAATCAATGCATCTGAGTCTTAAAGAAAAACTGCAAAACGGTTGTTGAAGGAGTAAGGACACGACGAGCAAAAACTGTGCCAGCTCCAATGATAGCATTGTTAGCTTGTGTTATGTAACCAGCAATAAAGCTGGTCTAAATGAGGGATAATATAAAAAGCATAAAAACTGTAAGGCGAGAGAAGGCACAGCCGACATGTAAATGAATTACGCCACTCTGCCTAAAATCTCCTGCAAAATTTGACATGATTCTTCCCTGTGTTGCAGATTTTGAGAAAACTTCCACTTAGGCAGTGGAGTCAAATGCAGATTACTTGAACAGCTTCAGTATTTGAAATAAAAGAATTAATTTTTTTCCAGCTAAATTGGTGCATGAAGGTCATAGTTTTTTCCAAGGGCAGATATAATTTGAATTGAAGTTGAAATGGAAATTTTTTGAGTAACATTCCAGAGGTTCTACTCTCTTGCAAGATATGGGAGCAAAGTTCAGGAGCATCTCTCAAATCTTTCTAAGAGGCCTATTACCTTACTGCTTGCTAGAAAAGGACACACCTCACAAAAGATTGCAACACAATGACTGGGTGGAGCGAATAATGTCTGCTCCACCCTCCGGATCAAACAAGGGACATAATGCATGTTTCTGTTTAACATAAAATTTTGAAATTGTTCTAAAGCATCTTATTAATTGAAATAAAATTTTATTTCACAATAATATTGAAATCTTAGGAACAGCAGGGTAAATGCTGATCATTATCAGACGAAAAACATACTGTATATTTTTTTTATATGTTAAGTCAGCTCTAAATGTATGTTTATTATTCAACAAAAAAAAAAACTTTCAGGATATCTTCACAAGCTTTAAAAAATGTATTATGCAGTATCTATGTCAGAAGAAAACACTATTTTGTACTTCAAAAGTGTGACCTTTAAGGCATGTATGTCTATCACTTTATCTTTCTACAGTATATGAAAAGAAAACATCTGAAAATGTAAGCTTTCAATATTTCATTTTCTGTATGAAAAAGCAATAAAAGCATTTCTACTGTACTTCACTAGCTTCACTTAGTAGGTTTACTAGTCATTTCCCAGTTTTATAAATGTAATGATACACTTAATAGTATTATTATGCTTGACACTTTTACTTTCAGACTTTTGCTTTTATATTTCAAGTGTATATTTCTATTGTTTTGATGATTATTGAAAACCCAGAGTTAAGACCGCTGGAAAATGACATCAGCATCTCCGCAGCACTTCGAGTTTCCCATCAGCAGAAGGAGACATGAAGTACTTTAAAGTTTGCTGGTAGATATCTAGGCTGACTTTGGACTTGATAAAACAAAGTGAACCAACATTAAAAGACTGAAATTGTGTGGTTTGTGTGATTCTCTGCTCTTCTTCCAGAATCTGGAAAATGCACCTTTATCTAAAAAGCAGGATGCGTCTGATGCTGTGAAGGTTGTAGCTTATGAGTTAATTACACCTCTACGTAGCTCTTGAAACTTACTCACCTAATAAACATCCCAAAAAGTCTTCAGTGGGCTTTACCCCACATTGACTGTTACCTGTGCACTTTCTTTTAACCACATGTTTTCCTTCCACTTAACTTTCAATGAATTTGCTTGGATAGATCTTTAGAAATTACCTAAGGTGCCTTAGCCTCATTATAGAAGCTGTCACAGTACAACTGTTAGTTTTTCATTTGATTGTCTATCTAGCCCATAAGATGCCTATACAATAACATCTCTATTAAAAATCAATTTTTATTGATCTTATTTAATATTTGAAATTTCTTAGAAAAATAATTTTCGATTTAAGGTATTAGAGCCGTAATAAAAAGTGCATAAAATAAATACATAAATGATGACATATATTATTACGGCAACGTAATAAATGAGTCAAATTTTTTAATGAACGACTCGATTAAATTTGAGATTTTATTTTTAATTTGTGGAGGCACAGCACTGATAGTGATTGGTGACTGGTAACTAGACTCTTAACGAACTGTTTAGTACTGCTAATGTGTAACGAATATGTAAAGTTTATGAGAAATTATGCTAAACCAAAGATGAGAGTTTTAGCTTGCCACGCGCTCAGCCAGTGGGGAGCGTTGCCTCCACCACATCGGCGCTGCCCGGTTTTCACGGCTCACCTACATCACTCCTCCTCTGGCTGAAACTCCACGCATGCGAAGTGATTCTCATCTTTTGGTGTAAGCGACACAGAAGGTAAGCTAAGCAGACTTTTAACAACATGTTTTGACAGTAACAGCTCATTAAGCAACATGATGGATAGTGGTATATAGCATAGCCTTGATAATAGGTGGGATTCCTAATCAGCGGTGCTCCAGCAGTGATTTGTGCGAATGAAAAGAGAGGGCGCTGCTTTAGCTAGCATCTGCAGCCAGGGTGGATGTGCAACCCCAGTGAGAAAGCTAGCAGGAGTAACTGTGAGATTATAGTTTCTAGTTTATACTCCCTTGTCTAAATTACCACGTCGTTTACTGGGTTTCCTAGCAGTGCTGTGGCTAATTTTATCATTTGTTTGTACTACTGAGAAAAGACTAATGTAATGGTCATTGTTCAGTTGTACAGTGACTACAATAAAACGGAGCAATTGGCATATTGTTGTACAAACACGTATGTCTATAGCAATAGGCTATTAGCTTATGGCCTGAGAACCCAACACAGTCTTGGTTGCCCCTCCTGATTGGGAGAAATAAAAGCTGAAATTTCCCTTGACTGAAACGTGTTTATATCATCCTAAAGTGCAGCTTTAAATTGACATTGTTCTAGATGACGAACATGCTAGTTTGAACAATCAAGGAGAAAAAAACTGACTTGACAACAGTGTAACAAACTGTCTACGCCCTCCACAAGAGTGCTGAGCAGATCAATTATGAAAAGTTAAGTGGAAGGAAACAAGTTGGGTAGCTGCACATTGATAGCAAGTCCCATTCAAGATTTTGGGGGAAGATTTTCAAGGTGTAGGATGCAGCAAGAGTTGGTGTACCATTTAAAAGAATAAAATCAAATGATTAAGATCATGTGGCTTGCATGAGGGAGGGGGGTGTTTGACGTGTTCCTCCATGTTGCTTTTATCCATTTTCCTGTGTTTAACACAGTCCCATCCACATTTACTGAAACAGAAATTGTTACTGACATATTTAGTGGATTCCTGATGTTGCATAGCTTTCTATATGTGTGAAATATTCATAAAGACGAGTTTTTTCCCCCTTGCTGCTAGGTGTAAAGAAAGATACTAACTTCTTTTCCTTGGTGCGTGGAGCAGCCCCCGGCCCACTATGGCAGATGATGACTTCTCCACCGCAGATGCTGGGGCCTCAGCTACATTCCCCATTCAGTGCTCTGCACTGAGGAAGAACGGCTTCGTTATGCTGAAAGGACGTCCCTGTAAGATAGTTGAGATGTCTACCTCCAAGACCGGGAAGCATGGGCATGCCAAGGTAAAACCTTTCTCCTCCATTGGCTTCAGAGTGAAAGGAATTTTTTTATTTATTTATTTATTTATTTATTTATTTTATTCCTTGTTTGTTCTCAGAATGTAATGTAAGACACAGGTGTATTTCTTTAAACTTTTTTCTAGAAGTCGTATTTTAGTAAAGACGAGTTTTACTCTTAGGTGCATCTTACCGGAATCGACATTTTTACTGCGAAGAAGTATGAAGATATCTGCCCCTCCACACATAACATGGATGTACCAAATGTGATAAGAAAGGACTATCAGGTGAGGTAGCCCTTCTTTACGGTATTTGTGAAATGTTTGTATAAACCAGGAGTAGTTGCATCAGTCGAAGCGACATCATTTCTAGATTCACATTTCAGTAACTTTTTAAACATTTTTAAATATGTTCATGGAAATCCTCATGGAAATATGACGTAGACAAAGCTTCGTTATCTTTAATGTTAGGCCAATAAATCAAGCTTGATATGTTGTTATATCAGTGACATAATATGGATATTGTTATCAGTTTATCTCATCAGAAAATGTTTGCCATATTGCTGAGAAAACTTTTTGAGAACTTTGAAAACCATATTCCTCTTTCTTCCACCTCCCAATTCTCTTCTTACGTCTGTTTTTGCAAATTTTGTAACTTGAACTGCCGAAAATGAACCCCCCAGACATATCGGCCAGTTTTATTTCATTTGTGCTCTCTGTTTTCTCGGGTGCTCTGCCTGGTGTCACATTTTAGGTACTTGATATCGTAGACGGCTTCCTGACCCTGATGGAAGACAACGGAGAGACCAGAGAGGATCTCAGGCTGCCAGACGGAGACATGGGCAAAGAAATTGTGAAAAAACTAGAGAGTGGAGATCAGTTTCTGGTAAAATTTCTTGTTTTGTTTTTTTTTTTTCACAAAGCTGTAGCTAATTAGGATCTGCAGCAGTCAGAGGTTAACATACGCTGGTTATCAGTACGAATGTCGCATTAGCGCCGAGCTTTTATCGAGTGGTTCTACAGAACTGAAATTAAATCTCAACCTTACTCAAAATGTGTGGACTAGATGCAAACGTCCGTCTCCATCGTTGAAGTTTGCACGTTTCTAAAGATCACTGTAAAATGTTCGTCTTGAGTAATAAAGTGGTTCTTAGTTGGCTTCTCAGAAATGATACACAGCAGAAAAGCCGCAAGAAAAGAAAGTGAGGCGACGTTTGTGGAGTTCTCTCCTTAAAACTGTTATTGTTTTTTTTCTCTTCAGGTGACTGTGTGGAGAGCTGTGGCTGAGGAGGCTGTAGTCGGCATTAAGAACATGACTCCTATTTAGACCATGGCGACAGCGGAGACCTCATGTTCCTATCTCCCTCTGTGGTTTTAAAGCTTCACCAAAGCTACTGGCCTTCACCACACATCTCAACCGGCGTCCGACTTCGCTCCTCCGCTCTCCTGCTGTAAGATGAAATAGCGGTCAGCTTCAGCTGCGCTTCACACCATTGCTTTCATAGCGCCACTGTGTAGCACATGCCAGGCACTATAGGAGGAGTCTTTGACCATGCTCCACAAAATCGTATCATTCCTACTCGGGCGCGTTGTTCACAACGCCAGCTAGCTAACTTCAGTTTCCGTTTTAAAATAAAAAAATCTCCTCAGCTGTGTTGCAGCTCCCCTCAGATGAAAATCTGTCTCTGCTTTCACTTTGCATAAACTCCGCACATTAGTCCACTGACTTGGGTTCTGCCTTTCCACGCAGTTGACGCACCCCCGACGTTTCACGTTCACACGGCTCACGCTTTAGCACCTGTGGGTTTTTATGTAGGTCACAGAGTTTCTTTCTTCTTCTCCACTCGCACTGGAGATCTGCAGTCAAGTTTTCTACTGCACGTAACCCGGTCCCAAGGTCAGTGGGTTCTCCAGCTGACAACTGTGCTGTCTCAGCAGCCCCAAACAGTGCTGGAGCAGACGGAGGTAGGCAGGGTGAGGCAGTTTTCTTCCTCTCTACGCTATGAAACTTAATGTTTTTTTGTTTTTGTTTTGTTTTTTTTATCACTTGAGGCCTTCACAAGCTGGCAAATGTATAGAAACATAACAAATCGCTGTTAAAATTACACGTAGATGTTAGCAAATCTTACCTAAAGCAAACTGCATCTGCAGAAGATGAGATCGGAATGTGTGGCAAAAAAAAAAAAAAAAAAAAAAAAAAAAAAGGGGAAAAAGCCGTTTTTAGACTTGCATGATGCATCCATAGTTAAAGGGAAGCGAAGGAATATAACGTCGCTGCTTGGTGACACTATATTCATAGGAAACACTTTAGAGAGTTTGTGTGCAGAGTTTGCACTCTTAATATATGACTGCACAGAGACTCTCCTGGATTTGTATAAAAATAATGCTAGTTTTTTGTTTTTGTTTTATTTATTTATTTTTTTTTTTTCATTTAATTTACCTACACCATTAAGGGTGACAGTAGATAAACGCAGGACATTTGAGTCTCCTGCTGAACAGTGCTTTGGAGATATTTTAAGTTTTTTCACACTACAACCTCAAGGTTTAGTATGTTTTTTGTTGTTGTTGTTGTTGTTGTTGTTTTTTGGAATTGGACCAACACAGAGTGAGTGGTGTGTGGTTAAAATCTGGAGAGGACAAGGGCAACTTAAAAAGTCACACCATTAAGATTGTTCCTTGGAGAGAATACATCATTTGTGTCGGTCTGTCACATGAAACCGCAATAAAACGAAACGTTGAGGTCCGTAGTTGTAATGGGACAAAACCTTGGACTTTTGCGAGGTGCTGGATCCGTTTGGGTGCAAGAGAACCTGCTTCTTACCCCTACCTCCTGACGGAAACCCCAAAATAAAACTATCTTCTAATTGTATTAATGATATCTTGGAAGCAGTGTAGCCTAAGGGGTAGCTTTAGTTGTTTACAGTGCTCTGATAGAAGCATAAAACGTTTTGAAGGAGTTTGCCTTCATCGATCGCATGTGTTCAGAAGAGGCAAATTGCTGCCAGTGAGACGTGGGAATGACGCGTTTACATCCAGATAAAGTTCTTCTGCTGCACGAGAAGGAACAAAAGCAATACTTTGAGGTACTTTTTAAAGTTTTCCACCATAACGCTGTGTTTAAATCCTCTTTAAAAGTTTTGAGGTAACTGGTTTCTGTAGCAGAATCCCTCAATCCCTTAAAATGGGTGAGGAAAATGTTTACATGATGCTTAATGACATCAGCTCACTGCTCAAAAGTTGATCATAAATAGATTTTTTTTTTAAATTTGTGTAAAGATGCAGATTGTAATGGGGCATTTGAAGGTATTCTGTTCAGTTTTTGTACAACAGCAGCCGGTCTGTTACTTTTGTCTGGGCTTCAGGCATCCTAAAGTATTTGATTTTTAGTCTAGTTTTTCTTTTTTTTATTCCACTAAAATAGTTTGCTATATATATATATATGTAAATAAATCAGAGAAGTTATGTATATGAGTCCTCATTCTAAACTTTGCAAGATAAATAACTTGTACAAATGCTAATTAAGCACTGTCGAGCACTTTGCCGTGTCCGATTTTATTTTATTTGTTGTTTTTTTTGTGTGTGTACGTGTGCCTGTACAAAAATAAAAGTTTTGCCTCTTTAAAAATGTTTTATAAGTTCCTAATATCGAAGTAGCTTCTATTCTCATGTCTCCAACACATTTGTGCTCATCTGTGTATGTGTAAGGAAGTAGATTTTTGTTTGTTTCATTGCTTTCATTTAGTCTCTTTTACCAGACGGTTCCATCATTCAGCCGTAAGGTCAAGCGTCTCGTTAAGCTGCCTCCAAGTAACTAAAAAGCCAATCTGGACTTCCAGGAGTTAAGCTAGCTTTGTGAATCATCTGGAACACTGCATCAAATGTTTGTCTTTTAGTTGATGAAGCACAAAGGTGGCATACGACATCCTGTAAAACATTCCTTCATTCCGATTAACAGGTATTGCTATTCAACTTTAAGGTCCCAACACAGAATGGAATGTTTTCTATTTGTGTTGCACTTCTTGCACGTGGGTCTGGTGAATGCTGCGAGTTGCAAACCAAGGCTTTTGGGTAATCGCAGAGCGTGCTGTAAAAGGACACCAGCCCTGCAATCCTGACTGATCGACTTGCAGATTATTTTGCTTTGGATAGGGCTACTTTTATTTGTCAAAGTAAAACTGGTTCATATGTATGTTTTGATCATCACATGCTGTATCTGACAGTGGAGAATAGGCAACCTGTGCTGGTGTGTTATAAATGTTTGCCGTTTCCAATGGCCATTTGCCTTCTCTGGAAAATAATAATTGGATACCTATTTTCTCTATTCTGACTAATGTTTGGCTGCTGTCCTGGGAATATTCTCTTTTCGTTGTTTTGCAAAAATAAAGTTCATTCAGCTGTCCCAGTCTTTGCTTCACTGACAAATGATTTAATTTGGTTTTATTACAATAGAGTTGCTCTCTACTCACCTTCACTTCAAAATAACTCCACCGTCTACTAACGAGATATCTGGCATTTTTTAAATTAAACTGAATTTGTCATGTAAAGTATGGATTCAGTCCAGTTTCAGAATGGTTTGCTAGTGTGCAGTTGGAAGGTACTTCTAATACCGCAACTATTATGAAGTGAAAAATCCTGCACCATACTTATAAAATCAATCAAAATGTTACGAAAGAAGATGAGAGCCAGTGGGGGGGCGGGGAGGGAGGGAATAAAAATTCTGACTTAAATTTTCTGAAATCAAGTCAGAATTTTTTTGTTTCTCTTTCTAATTCTCTTTTGTAAAATGTGAAAAAAAGAAAAAAGATGAACTGTCCGAACTTCTGTTACATTCTCTGAGTTCAACAACAGATGGCAGTAAAACATCACTTTCCATGTATTCACAATCTATTGCTTTTAGTGGTAAAAGTGTTTGCACGTCCTTCACGTGCGAGTAAAGTTTCTTCTTTTTTATTTTTTTTTTGTGGATAATTAGACACAATTTTAAACATTTTAGTGCAACTCTCAGCCACCCCAAATTTTATCTGCGCCAAAGCCATGGATTTTATAGAGAAAATTGTCAAAAAGCAGTGATATAAAACTGCCACAAACACTCTTTTTTAAGTGCATATACCACAGGACGAGTCCCGTTGGATTACCTGTGAGGACGGCCTTAGCAACACAGGCTTCTTTGCTCGTTACAATGGAAACTCCCGCACTTATTGCTGCCACGAATGTTTTACCGGGATATGCAGAACTCTTTCAAGGCTCACGTGGGAAGTGAAGCCGGGATTGCACAGAGGATTGGCCGAGGTATTACAAACCATCCCGCAGAACCCTGAACCTGTTTATGCAGAAGGCAAAAGCTGCTGGATTCCCCTCTGATTTATGGGGGGGATGAACCGGACTGAAATGGCTCCGTATTTGATAGAGTTTTGTGGCACAGGACTCGTCTTATAAGAGAGAAGAAGTGCTCTACACACATCGGCTGCTTACATCAACAGTGAGGTTGGGTCAAGCGCAGGAAGGGCCCTTCCGTAACGGCGGGATCTGTTTCTCGAAACAGCGTGAAAAGGGGGGCGCAGAGGAGATCAAAGCCCGCGTGTGAACCGTGCTTTTATTGAAACTATGCGGGATTAACCAGACTTGTCTTTCTGCATGCATGAAAGGGAAGGCCCATGAAACATGAAGAGATTTCATATATACTTTTTCTTTCACCTCTTTTCTGCTAGTAGATTGAAGCTGCTATAGGATCCAAAAGGGGTCCAGATTTTCTTTTGGAATCAAATCAAATCTAGTGGAAACCCTGTCATCCTTGACAGCATTCAGGGAGATTGATTGAGGACAGAAGGAGGCTTTTTGGGCTCCTTTCATGTGCCGTGTCCCACCGCGAGACAAACAGCTGGGGGAGGTTTGAGTGCCAGATGGGAGGAGAAATGAGTGTATTGGTGAGGAGCCTTTGATGGATGGTGATATTTTTGCACAAGTGACCATTTATCACTGGCTGGACAGCTTTTTCTCCAGCTCATTGCAAAAGTTTTCACGGCTCTCGAAGATTTTTTCGCCATTTTCTCACGACACGACAAACTTATGAAACGTTTCGTCGAGGCGTTAAATGACAGACCGACGCACATTGGTGCGTCGTTAGGAAGCGGAAGGATAACGACGCACGGTTTTCAAAATGTCGAGGAGGATTAATAGGGAAAGCAGTCGAGAGGTTTGTGACTCTGGAGGGGCTGCAGAGAGCACCAGCTCAGGTGGAAGACATTTATTTATTTTTTTTCCATTTCACAAATAGTTTAATTTGTGCTTAAAAATTTTGATCTAATAAACCTGCATAAACCGTCTGTGGTGAGACCCGGACCGTTCTAAAATTGCAGGCTAGGTCTGCTGAAAATTACGTGAAGACTTGGAGTTGTGATTGCGAGAAAGATGGCTTCTCAAGTGTCACCTTGGGAGGACAAATATAGATGCAGGACACTATTGAAAACAATATATCTAGTTACTTTAATTTTGCTGGACCTGCTGTTTTCTTTGCTTTTCAAACATGTCTGCGTATGAGTGGCGTGCAGGAAACTGTGATTGAGACCGGAAGGGAGCTTTTCATCAAAAATGGCTACGATAACAGATGTGCTCATTTCATTAAGGGGCTCACAGCATGCTTCCTGTTTTAATCGTACTCTCAGATAGCTGTGAAGATGTAGCTGTGAGGCGATGACTTCACTTTTGTGGGTAAAAACAGTTTAGGAAAGCTAAATGCTACGTCTCAACAACTACCATTTGCCTCAAAGCCTTAGGGCTAAGTTATCGCATATTGTTAATTCGTGCATTATTTTCTTTTGCGATCACTCCTTTTTCTAGCTTACATTCAGCCTGGTTAACAATGAGGCTTCTGTTTCTGACTGGTTGTCTCAGTTGAGTCGAGTCTGATCCGGACTGTAACCTCCCGCTGCTGCGTGTTGTTCCTGGCACAGCTTTGAGCTTCCCTGTGTGTCTGTACGGCATATGTACTGTGTGTAAGCAGCTCACAATGTATGAGTGTACATTTGTCAGAGCAGGTAGTAGACTTAATAGCTGGAATGTTCGGAGCCGGCGTCCAACATCTGGAGGCCGACTCCAGAAGGAGCATAAAGAAGAGCTGGTGGGTCGGACAGATCGTTATTCGAACCAGATGGGGGTAACTTCTCATAAAAGTGGTATAAAAAAAGAAGAAGAAAAGAAAAACAACGCCACGCTGTATTTTTCTTTCACTTTTATTTTGTTTCGTTTGAGAGTAAATGGCCATTCTTTTCTAATGTGTTCTATGAAGTGAGATATTTTAAGAAAAATAATGAATATACTAGGAAAAACAGGACACATCTGAATTCATTGGGAATTTTCTGCTTTGGAGTTTGTTCAAATAAGTCTTGTCATAGATTTGAATTTTAGTTTAGGGTTAGTCTATGACATTTGAGTTAGTGTGAGGTCAATGCACAGGGAAAGCCAGATCAGAAAATATTTCTCCAGAAGCCATTTGTCATGTGTCAGCAGGCCATCAGGATTATTATTATTATTATTATTATTATTATTATTTTTTTGTGTCATTTACAACCCGTACATTTTTTATATTGCGTTTGTGGATGTGCAGACACACAAGCTACATTTTTCCGGTAAAAAAAAAAAGATTCCAAAGACTGCAACAAATAGGTCCAACGCAATGACTGTGGACATACTGAATCATGTGGTAATAAAGGCATCTGCTGGCCATAGTAGTAAGTCATTAAAAGAAGAAGAAGAAGAAAAAAAAGGCCTAAAAACATTTCTATCCTTATCCAGCTCAGATACAGTTGGATCCACAAGAATTGCACATTAAAAAATCGACTTGTTTGCATTCAGGACAGTCTGATAAAATGTAGATACAAAATAAAAGATTTAACTTCCTGCTTCCTTTCTGCGTGTGCGTTTGTTGTTGTTGTTGGGATTTCTGGGCTGCCAAGCCAGAAAAAAAAAACAATCTCAAGGACGTCCAGTAATTTCCCTTTCTCTGTTGAAACGGACCAATGTTGTTTTGTCTTGTCCCGAAGGAGAGCGCCGTGAGAAAACAGCGATGGAGCTGATGCAGAGCTCTTATCTCTGTTGTTGGAAGTAACTGTAATAGTGACTAATGCTATGTAGACACACATTTCTCTTCATCTGCACCTGTGGAGTGAGCTGACGTTAACTCTAAAGAATGACAGAGAGGAAAAGCCCCGATTCCACACAATGACAGACGTTCGTTTATTTTGTCGCACCGGGTGCCTGCTGAATGGACGCCTGAGCTAGATTCTCTCTAACAAACTTGAGCGCAAACAGTTTTGAGTGTGTTTATGTGTCTTTTGGTGTTAAATTTGGAGGCGCACGTTTTTTTGTTTTTGTTTTTTTGGGGTGTGTGTGTGTGGGGGGGTGTTGGCATATGTGTATGTGGGAGCTAATGAGACTCTAATACGGTGCATATGTTCTGCAGTTGTGTATGTTTACGGACTGAGGGGATGGGAGCGCTTGTGAAAACAGCGTTACTCAGGGTACAGTTCCACTGGATCACAGGTTACAGCCCCAGGGGATTGTGGGATAGGTCGGGCCACTGTAGGAAATGGATAGTGAGTTGTGTGTGTGTGTGTGCGTGTGTGTGCGTATTTATGTAAGAATGTTTTACTGACCATAAAAGAGAGAGAGAGAGAGAAGAGGAGGTGAACATCAGTGACATTACGGTAAACCAGATGAAGCTGCTCTCAATCTTTTCTGATATCCTTGCTCCTGTTCTTGTGTCCGAGCTGAAAAAGGACGTATTAACGAAAAGTATTTGCTGGCAAAGCTGCAGTTCAAAATTCCTCTGTCTATTTATTTGCTGTAGTATTTCTCTCTGGAGTGCCTTCCCGCTGAAATACAGCGTATTTTGCCATGGATTAGATAGAAAGTATGCAGTATGAAGGCCATAAGTCCACTGCAGCGATTCCCTTTCATATCTCATGAGATATTAGCCAGTTTTAACAGAGAACAGATATCCATTGCACATAAAAAGCTTTCCAGTTAACACTTGTGGTTCAAGAAATTCTGTCCTCTGGTATCTTTTTTGGGATTTTGGGGAAACTAAAGAACGTAGAATCATTTCACGTGGAGTTTCCATGCTCTCCATGTGCATGCACGGCTTCTCTGACACCATCATTATGTTAATCAGAGTCTTTAAAATGAACCTCGGCAGCTACGTGTTGTCTTGGCCTCACGATTTCAACATGCGAACAGCATGATGAGGATGACTGTTTAGACACCAATTCTTATTCAAGCGATTTATTGGCCGATTCAAGGTGAGTTGTGCCCTTAAGCTACTTATATTTTCAATAAATATGAAACAGTGACAGAATTACTTGTTGCCTCACTCATTTTGGATGTGTCAAATTTTTTTTTTTTTCTACTTCAGTGGTGCGAACGCTGCACTAAAAGACACAAAATAGCTTCCTGAAGTCGTCGTCGCACCTACTCCTCCAGCAGGCCTGGCATAAACAGTGACTCGGTTTGATGGCCGCCGTGTTTTGCCTCTTCTGCTGTTGAGGAGAATCAACTGTTCAGCCATTCATGCTCAGCTCTAATGAGAACCGATGCAACCAGCAGCAGAGCTGTATTTGAACGGGCGAAAATATGGTGACTGTTCCAGTCAGAGTCAGAATAGGAACTGTCAAATGTAATAAATAAAGGAGGGCACCAAAACCTGTTGTCTGTGTGCCATGTAAGCACTGTAAGCTGTGAAAGAGCAAGTGAAAGCAGACATTTCCGTTCGTTCGGCACATAACCTTGAATAGCAAAGGCTTTTTTGCGACCCCTCCCTCCAAACCCCCCGTTTACCAGGAAGCATGCCGTCTTGTTTCAAACACCAGGTGGTGCCACAGTGTCTGAGATAAGTAACATAACCTTATTCTGTTTCATTTTTCTTTTAAACTAACTCAGTTTAACTTCTGTTAATACATACCATTTCTCTGTCTTTTTTGTTTCATCCCTCCAGATGCTTTCATTGTCTTCTCTGATTCCCCTCCCGCTCCGTTTATCCCCCCCGCCCCCCAAATCAACGACTCCTAACATCTGGGATGCACATGTCACGGTGCAACGGGGTTAAAAACTGTATTTACCTGCATCAGTTAAAATGAACAGATTCTGGATCGATGCTTTGAACTATGATCTCAAGTTAATCTGCAAGAAAAGGAAAAAAAAAAGACTTCCACACTTTCCTTCATAATTCAGATACATCGGGGAGAACCAGACTGCGTTGTCCAGAGCCTTGTTTAGTCCAGGTTATGGTAAATGTTATTCCTGTGTGTAAATGAATGATGTTCAGAATGTACTGACATTCCGATTATGTCCTCTCAAAATCTATTCTCTGTCTCTGAGACGTTCAAGTATTTGCAGCCCAGGGAAAGTGCACACACTGATATATATAAACCTAACAGTTTCCCATCCAGAATCCATCCATTCATTCTCATTCTTGCTCCTGTCAATGTAGTGAAGCAGGAAACTTCAAACGAGATCCCTCCTTAACTCTCCATGCTTTCCACCAACTCAGACGACATGAAGGAAGTTCATTTCCACTGCTCGTGTGATCTCCTTCCTGTGGACTCGACCCACAGTTCATAGTCTTGGAACGTAAAACAACTGGTAAATTACTCATTTCTCTCGGCAGACGTTTCGGTTTTGTTCCCGTATTCTCTTTTCCCTCCGCGGATCAAGAGTCAAAGGTAGTTGAAAACCTCCATTTTGGAGGTGGGGACTCAATTCTCAGCCCATTGCGACAAACACGTTGTCATAAAACTGGAACACAACACAAATGATATTATGTGTATCAAGAGACACTTTAAAACTCTCATCATAGTTACTTGCTAGCGTTGGGCCGCACACAATGAAGTATCGGGCTTTTATCTGCGGCTGTTGGTTTCTGTTTGCACAAAAAGGCTGGATCATCCTTGGGGCCTCTCTGAATCATTGTTTTCCAAATTGTGTTGCCGTGGCAGCGGGAGGACTGAGGCTTCTGCCACAATGAGTCACATAAATCTACACTTTAAAGGGAAGCTGCCCTGTGCTGCACTTGAGTCTGGTCAGGAGCCATTCAAGTGGGATGTTTACACCTACAGGCTAAATGTGATTGGAAGTAACAGCCAAGGATGTTTTCTGTGAAGAACTCTAATAAAGACATAGTGATTAAATTAAAAATAAAATTACTGTTAAACAGCTATGTACATAATTGTATATATTTTTTAAAGTAATCTTTCATTTTTGTTTCTTTTGACTGTAAGTATTATGAAAGTATTAGAGGCTCCTGACTTGACTCCTGTTAGCAAATCTACAGGTGGGGTTAAGGATTCGGGAGGTGACAAGAAATCTTTCAACCTCAAAGACTTGCAACTCATCACAAAAGACAATTGATCAAAATACCAAAAAAAAAAAAAAAAAAAAAAAGGTCAACAATTACAAGAAGGTGTTGCTGCTGTCAATATACACTTTTAAATGGACTGTTGTGAACGCTATCAGTAATTGTGAGCCTGCAATTTTCACTAGAATCACGTTTTGTCAAGTGCGATACTTCAACTTTCGAGAGTCAGAAATGATGTCATGTTTGAACGAAAATCATTTTAAACGCATTTCTTCCATGGCTACGGATAATTCTGGGCTGACCTCCATCGAAATTATGTCAAAGCTGAAGAAGCAAAAGCTCCCAACAAACAATACTTGATTTATCACACTTTTTAAGTTTTAGGCTTATTTTCTAAAGGCCCACGTTCATTTTCAGGCACTCGAATGAGTTCATGCAGCTATGGTAAATTGTTTTTGTAATCTTTCTCATTCTGATTCTGGACATTTTGTCATTCTGTTGCTCTTCCATCTCGCATCTCCTTTTCACACAGTCAGACACAATGTTTCAATCTCCTGTTTTCAGAGATTTTGAGTTGACTTTAAATCCAAAGATGTTCTTACCCTTTACTTGAGTTAAATAAAACAATGTTTCAAGTGGAAAAGTCGCCCGAAACTTTGATAAAGAAGCTTGCAAAGTTTTAGATGCGAGAATTTGATATTCTGTCATTACGTTTGTAGAAAGTTACATATATGTGGAAAAATTAAGAGGAGAAAATGCAGTTTGTGACCTAAAGGCCCCAAAAAAATATTATTGCACATTAGCACAGTCTTTGTTCAGATACTGTCATATTACTTTTGCACACATGAAGCTAAAGTAACTTTTAATTGTCTAAAACAGCGTCGGTTTTACTTTCGGATAAGTTTTTCTTGAAGCCTCTCTTGAGAAGCTCCACAAGGTTCCTTTCTTTGGCCGACTGTTTTTTTGTCATTTGGCTCCCCTTTAAGAAAACATGAATTTTATACGTACTTCTGATAACACACAGATATTTGTGTAGAAAGCACAACCATTTTTTTTCTCTGAAACTTTTTTTTTTTTTTTTGCCATCGAAACTTTAAAGATGAAAAACTGAGTAAGTGCATATAAATCTGGGTAGGTTTTACTTTTATTTTACAAAATCTCCTGCCGTAGACCTGGGTGTGAATGAATGAATATCATAAATATTTGCCAAGAGAGTATACAACTGCACAATTAATAGAGACTAGAGGGTAGAGTGACTTTTGTTTTCCAGTTTTTAGAGGAAAAAGTCAAACCAGGAAGGGCTGGTTCCTCTGTTGAACGTGTGTTTTACCCCACACCTGTGACGGCCTCAGGCTCTTAGTGTGAAGGACGTGGACGTTACGCATCAATTGGAAACTGGTTCCCTGTCTTCTATTGTTAAACTGCCAGTCTGTCTGCATCTAATAATAAACATAAGTTGCAGTGTGTCTCTGTGTGAGCTGAAGGTCAGCGAGCAGCCGCTCCTTCGCTGAATTCAATAATAAACATTTAGGATGTACTCGAAACAACCCAAAACACCATCTTCTGCTCACTTGACGATTTTCTTCCACAGTTGGAAGAAAACGGCAGAGGTGGGAGTAGAGCTGGAGTCGCTGATTAGACGTGTCTCGCATATTCGAACATTGCAACATGTCATAACTTAGCGGTGAGATGTTGCATCCTGTATCGTTCAGTGTTGTTATTTCTGAACAGTATGTTTTGTTCAGTTGAATCAGCAGGATTTTAACGGTCGCCAGCTTATTATCACCTCTGAGTAGTTTTTATCAGCGGGAAACATTTGCGAACGATCGCTAATATGAGCCTAATCAACCCGATGTTCTGAAAATAAAAAACGTCACTCTGGCATATTTACTGTGTTTGATGTACTGCTCCTCCTTTAAATAATGGTTGCTGGTTTTTCTTTGACTCATTTGAGGATGTTGTCATCTCGTTTCTGTCTTTTTAGTCATTTTCCATATTTAAAAGTGGAGCAGGAAGTGGAACAACTGAAGATACTGTGTTCTCTTTGAAGTGCTTTCCAAACTCTCGATGTTGTGCAAACTCTTTTAATTGTTTTGGAGTATGATTCTTTTATTACATTTAAACTGTCTAGATACAATATATATATATATATATATATATATATATATATATATATATATATATATATATATAATCTAGTTTTCTGGTTTAAACAAATTTGAAAAAATAACAGCTTACGGCCCGATTCTGTTTGTAGGTTTCTTACTGTCTCCGAATCCCAGTGACAGCGTTAAACAGTCGAGCTAATAACTATCCATTTGCTACAAAACGAGAACGACAAAATCAGAGAAAGCAAGAAGACAAGAAGCTGTGCTGGAGGCGGATTACCAAACACTTTTCAGAAAGAGGAGGGTGTAAAGAGTGGGCTAAAGACCAGCAGCCTAACTGGTGCAGAGTCTTTGAGATTTACAGCACGATCTCATTATCCAGATAAAACTATGAGGGGTTTTTTTGTGTTTGTTTTCTGGTGGAGGACAGACAACTTTTTCTTTTAGATTTCTGAAAACTGATACCGTTCACTCTGACCGTGTTTTCAGGTCATTAGAATGTTACTGAAAAGTCAACTCACCTAGTAGAGCAGATTATATGGATTACTTACTGAAGTTTTCAATCCCTTGATTTCTGTTAATTATGATGATTTTCTGCTTACTGCTAAAGAAAACATAATATTTAAGATTAGAATATGACACCAGAACGACTAAAAAAAACACAGAAAAGTCATCTTAATTTAATGAATGTCAAATAACAGCTTAAATGTTTTTTTTTTTATTTTGATATGTACTCCTAATCTGACAAATGTGCCTCGTCACATTGCATATTCTAATTTATGGAACATGTCAGTCTCTGCTGTGGCTGTTGCTAGGGCGACCAAGCCCCCTTCAAATTTTATACCGACGTCCTGCGTGAGAAGACCATGTTGCAGACAGTGAACAGTGGGGGATTTACTGGGTTTGAGGAAAAAATGACTCTAAGGATGAAAGAAAGAAAAGGGGGGGGGGGCTGCGGAGGACGGGAAAATGTCAAAAGGTTTGATTTTTGGTCTGTAAGGACCCTAATCCAATTATGAGACATCTGAACTGTCAAATCTGGAACATGCAATGGACGTTAGACCTCTGACTTTTCGCCAGAAAAGGATCGTTATGGGCAAAACACGAGTACGTTTTTTTGAAATGCACTTGAACCAGACTTTGGTTCGAGTAGTACTGAGTAGTGGGCCTACTTAGAGGAATATTTAAAAACAGAAAATGAACATTAAGCAGCGGAGCTTATTAAAGATCATCAAATATTTGGTGAAGTTTTAAAACTCCCTTTCTCTGAAGTTACAGCTGCAAATGTTTTGTCTCTATCAGCTTCTGCACAACCTCAGACTAAAATGCTTAGCCATTCTTCTTTGCTAAATAACTCAAATTTAGTCAAATCGGATTATGTGAACCTCAATTTTCAGCTTTTTCAACATATGCTAAGGCTGATTTTGGTCTGGACTTTGACTTGTCCAATTCCAACACATGAATATGACTCCATTTAAGCTGTTCCACTGTAGCTCTGGCTGTACGTTTAGATTCACTGGAAGGCACACAGCCTCCCTGATCTCAAAGGGTTTTAATTAATGAAGTCACACTTCCCCAGTAATGTGAGCAAACAGGTTAACAAGGCCTGCTGCATGTGTGCAAAAACCTGAGTTACCCACAGATTTTCATCGTGGATTGTCTTTTATTTTTGCTGCACTCTGCAGAAGAAAAACAAAAGCACAGATAAAAAAAAAAAAAAACAGCAACTTGAAGATAGTGGCTCCCCTGGTTATGTGCAGTGTTCATTTTCTGTCATGCATCACATTTTGATAAAAACCAAACAGCTAAGCTTTGGCCTGATGTAACCAGAGCATATTCTTCCACATGTTAGGCACTCTTAAGTCCTTCTTTTTTTTTTTTTTTTTTCAAAGTTTCTTTTCTTCTGATCCATGAAGGCCGGATTTTTTTTATTTTTTATGTTTTTTTTTTTTGAGCGAGGAAGAAAGTTAAACACGCAACAGAGCCGTGTAGTGTAGGGGTGGATCACCACAAAAAATGAAAACCTGTTTTCCTCTGCAGGCTGTTTCACACAGCCAGGTTCTGGGTCTGAGAGATAATAGCATGCAAAGTGTCAGTTCCAGGGGCTTTATTTGTGGAGCGGGGCTATCTCGTTGCGGCCGCGTGTGTTTGTAGAACAGCGTGTGCGTGCATTTTCGTGCGTGTGCTTATCTCAACATGCTTGCCACAAATATACCAGTGAAAACACGCCTTCCACTACTGTGCACTGTTTACACGTGGAAGAAAGCGTGGGATAGGAGCCAAGCACACGTCCAACACACAATAGCAAGTGGTAGATTGTTCATTCCTCTGGTTGTTTACTTTGGTGCCCATTACTTTTTCCTCTTTCCACCCCTTTATTCAGCTCATCCTTTGTTCCTCACTTCATGTCTCGGTACTTTAATGACCAAAACCTGACCCCTCCCTTTTTGCTACCGTTTTTTTCATATTACACCATAGAACAGAGGCACCATCAGCATCCTCACTCTGTCTGCCAACTTTCGCCAACTTTCACACTCTTTCATGGACATTCGGGACTTTTATTTGTCATATTTTCACACCAAGCAAAGACAGGTACAGGCATGAGCACCGAGAGTCTAAGAATATTTCATTGCTATGGATTATCGCTTCGAACACAAAACGTGGAACAGTATCCAAACCTTCTTTTTTCTTCACGAAGCAAAAGCTACAATAAAGATCTCAGCTTCTGCTACCAAACTTTTTTTGTTGTTGTTGTTGGGTGCTTGAATAGATATTCTTTTCTTTGCCAAACCTTACTGAATTTGGAGTAATTACCTTTAAAATTACAACTTAACTTGAAAAACTAATCCTTGATCTTGGAAGGTGGACATCAGGTCTAGACCTGAGCTGCAAGTTTAATAATGCTCCTTTGTCTGCAGATTGTGTGTGTGCATGTGTGTGTGAAAGGAATATAACACTCCGCAGTGGTGATAGCATCTATACTTGGCGAGCCGTATAATATGATTCTCCTCAGTCTGAGTGCCTGTCAGCGCTGGTGGAGGTATATTTTAATGATTTATATTCGTCCATTTAAATGCTTGCGCGAGACGTCGCAGTAGTTTGGGAACGAGGGTGAATAAATCACGAGGAATTACCCGGCTGGGTTCCTTTTTTTTTTTTTTTTTTTTTTTTTATTGCGTGTTTGTGTTGGTGTACTTACGTTGGCAGCCTGCTTGCTATGCTAGTCTGGCTTCAGTGGTTTCTGACGTTTATCAGGCAGCCGCTTTGTCCGCTACCGAAAAGATCAAAAAACTACAGACGTTATCCTACAACAAAAGCAGTTATTCGGAGACGCCATTTTGCAAACTTGTACACGTAGTGTGTTGTACGTACGACTTTATGCCAGTCGCTACTATTTCCAGCTCGTTTCCCCCGCTCTGTTGCATTCTTTCGTCTGTGCTGACCTTTTAGCCTGGAGATAGCATCTCGGGGGGATGTTCTCTGCTGGCTGAATTTTTCCTGAATTGTTGACTTAGTAATAATAATTGGTTTGCATTTAACTTCACAGAGACATTTCACGGAGGGCTGTTCACCACAGACATTTCTGACACGGAGGCTTGGGGGATTTTACCTCCCAATATGTTTGTCTTATTCCTCGCCTCAGGCATTTTTAAAGGGAACAAAGATAAACACAACTTTTTTTCTTTCCCCCTCCCCCCCCACCAACCTCCACGCACCAGAAGAAA